GAGGAACAACTACTGCACCGCCGTGTCACCCATACGCAAATACAGCATGAATACAATTTATTATTTTCATCCCAAAGGATCCCAAAGCACTTTCCATATGGAAGGGACCCAATTCATCTGTCATTGAATTACAGCACCCACCTGGGTGATGTATGGCAGCCATTATGTGCATGCAGCCCCACCACATAGCAAATCAGTAAAAAAATACTTTACAAATCAATTCACCAATAATATGTGGATATATGGATTTATTTAAATGATTTGTTTAACCGTTTGTTTAGCTTGTTCTTGGTTTTGTGTCATCTGTATTAGCTTTCCTAAGTGAAAGATTGGCATTTACTTCACTGTTTATGATACAACGTCTACATTACAAACAAGACTTGCAAACAAGATACAAGGGAAGGTACTAGTTTTGTTTGTATTGTTTTCTTTTTATATTTCTGGAAATGTAAACTCAAATGACTTTTGACGTTTTTGTGAGGTTTCACTTTTAGTAGCCGTGTTACAGAAAGATAAAACCTTAACATTATCTGGAAGAAATGAATTACGTTGCGATTTTGTGGAGAATGCAAGGGGGTTAAAATTAGTTATTAATTAGACATAACTGAATTAGGAAATCTGGCTTCTGGGTATTTTTTTTCTCCAAAGAAAGTATTAGCACATGCCTCCAGTACAGCATTACCAGACAAGGCTGTTAGGAGTGCATTTTGAGTCCTTTTGGGGAGTGTTCAGACAACTCCTTTCCACTTAAGAGGCAGAAGGGCTGTAGTGGTAAGAGAAGATGATGACTAATGATTGGGAGTGCAAAATGATACTGTACAAGCAAAAACTAGTTACAAGTATCCTTTCAGTACTATATACAGAATTACATTATAAACAACATTTTAGGTACTGTATATAAAATCTGTAATTTTGAAATATCCACTTCTTTGCTCTTGTGTTTTGTATCTGTATTTGGAGGGTAGATATGGTATTTCATAGGAACAAGTAATAGGTTTATTCCATGCTGAAAAAAAGAAGAAAGAAAACACAACGTTTCGGCCGTGGAGCCGAGCCGAGGTGTGAGGTGCCGAGCCGAGCCAACGTTTCGGCCGTGGAGCCGAGCCGAGCCGAGGTGAAGAAGGCTCCTCAGCCGAAACGTGCTTTCTTTCTTCTTTTTTCAGCATGGAATAAACCTATTACTTGTTCCTTTGCAGCCTACGCATGCTGACGCAACTACCCACCTGAACTACTATAGTATTTCATATCTTGGTTTAATTGATGTTAATTTAATTTGATATCAACACTGTTTCTGTGACCAGGCTAATACTCTGCAACAAATCTTCAACAGTTGCTTTAATTATGGAATGTTTGTGCTAAAGGAATTTGTGGCTGGATTGTTTAGTGAGGAATAGTAGGATTTGCTGTTCGATGAGTGAAACTCATTAATAGGATAAACAAGATGTTTTGTTAATCTTAATCCAAATACAGATTTGAGAGTGTCTTGTTACAGCTGGAATTACTGGGTGATAGCAGGGGATCTTAAATACTTTTCTACTTATCTGTATCAAATTCATTATTAAAATTCAGCATGTTGGTTGTAAAACTGATTTCTTGTTCTATGGCTTTATAGTAAATTGTTTTTATATCTTCATTAAAGTGATACTCTAGGTGCAGTAGTGATTATAAGAAATATGCAATATTAATAGCCTTATTATTATAATAATCTTAAACAGTAATTTTATTTAGTGATTGATAGATTTATTGATAGGTTAAATAAATGGTGTTAATAATGCTGCGTTCTACACAGTTTTGTATCTGGTCATGGAATATTATCACTTACTATGTTGTTTTATCAATACTGCTTAGGAACATGCACAGTATGTGCACGGAAATTGCTTGAAAAAAGAAAACAGATACTCTTAGGTTTAAGCAAATCATTAGAAGGGTCTTTTGAAAAAAACATCACCTTGTTGTGTGTAAGTAATTATTTCCATTGGCAGACTTTCCTCATATGGGTTGACTGTTTCATAGAAGTAAATGGGAAAATTCTTATTTGTAAAAATCTAAACAGAAGAAAAAAATGAATGTTTCTTCATGAGAGTTATATTTTACCATTAAATAACAGTAAAATCTAAAAGTAAAATACACATTCTAAAAACTATATTTCAGTATTCTTTCAGCATAGCCAAATTTTTTGCTACTCAACTACATTGAATCTGGGTAAGTCCTAGACCACTCAGCAGAGTATTTGAGCTGGGTAGTCCTTTTGTACAATTTCATGTCAGGTACGACTAAGCCACCGATATTTAGTAGGGAACTGTAATGCACACTGCTTTAGTTTTACCTTTTTCCCCTTCAAATAACTTGTGTGAGCATTTTGTTCAATGAGAAAAAAAATGACTGATGAATACATTAGGCAACAGTTGGGTGTAACAGCCTATGAGGCACATCTATTTTTAAAATACTTACTCATCCTGGTAGATGCAAGTGTATCCCGCCTTTCCAACTCAGTTTTAATTTTCATAAATTGGGTTAAGGTTCTGTTTAATCTAAATTACAACGAAACCATTCTGCTTAACCAACTGATAGAAAAAGGGGGAAATAAATATCCAGATATACTGTATTATCAAATCTAAAATATTCCCAAGAGCACTTGAACAGGACATCAATAGGAGATTTAGAAAATTACCTTGTATCCAAACAGTGATCTGTAATGGTTTTTTTAATGTTAACAAGGGCATTTACTTATTTTTTTCCTTTTAATTTTCATTTTTTAGTGTGTCATCAGCATGCAAAGAAATGTTGTTCTTTGTTATTGATTCATTTATAATAATAAATACATTGATTTTTTTTAAAAAACAAAGGATGTCTGCTGCAATCCTGAAAACTAGGACATCTAGTTGTATTCTGTTCAGATGTGCTTAATGACCACCCTGTGGTTAACATTTTGCAGCCATTGCTTCCCTGAGAATGCCCTTCCTTGTAAAGAGCTTTGAAAGTTCAAGTCATTATAAGTAGTTATCTGCTGTTGAGTGAACAAAAATAAATGCCAAGAAATACACAGATGAAAACCTGTCAGTAGGAAAAAGGATTATGTATGAACTATGAATAAAATGGAGTATTTAATGCAATAACTAAGCATGCACCATGGCAAATTCAAAGATTTAAACTGTGCTTAATGAACAGAATGTGTTCAATATTAAAGCATAGAGGAAAGTACAAGATTTGAGAGGATGTTACTTTGAAGAAATGTCTCATTAAAAAAAGGAGAGAATAAGCCAAGGAAAATTAACGTTCTGCATGACAATAAGAAGAACTTTGTCCATTTACACATTGTTGTGAACAATTGGTCTAAGACTGTTCTCATATATCTAGTGCATGAAATTGGCATTAGCCAGCATCTATCTTGACCAGGCATTAGTGGTCAAGATAGATGCTGGGAGCCTTCTTAGAGGACTACTTGTATTTTCAAGTTTTAAAGACATGGTTACACACAACATAAGACGACCACTGTGTGGTCATCACAAAAAAATCAAGATCGTTGGATGACTGGAATTAGAAAAGAAAACTTTTAACAACCTCTGAAAGTCACTTCTCAATGAAAACAGAACAGGTAAAACATGTTTCATGTCTGTGGTAGATGAATGGTTATTACTATCGTTTTGTAGATGAGGTGTGCTGTGTGGTCTGTGAACTTAGATGTAGAGCAATAAAGCTTACTTTTCTTTGCCAGTAAGGCACAGCAATGTGTGCCAAGGAGGTTCTGGTACATAATTTCAGCCTCTGGCCACTGAAACAGACATTTTCAAAGCAGACAAGTATAGTTGTAATGAGGAGTAATTGTTTCACTGATTTTTTATATATTTGACTTATGTTCTGAAAATGGGATAGCGTTCTTCTGTCCATCAACTGCAGCTCCTCAGAAAAGAAGGTTTCACAGTGTAGATTGTTTGGTTGCCTGATCTTAACCTCATTTGACCTATATTAGATTCAATTTTGATTTAATCTAAAACATAAAGAATGATAAAGATTGCATTTTGACAACACTTTCCTTTGTAACTAGTCAGTGACATTGAAGAAGGTGAAGGGATATCCTATCAGCTGTACAATGGACAGCTTATTATGTAATTGTCAGGCTTTTGCTGTAGCACTATTGTACAAAAAATTTAGACATATAATAGAGATTGAGTTTCTTGCTGAAGCATTTTGCTTAAGAAATTGTTGAAACTGGCTTTGGATATCTGTGTTCATTCAACCATTCGGCCCTCTTTTTTTTTCTCACTGCACACAAAGCTACTGTACATAAGCTAAGATTTGACTGCAATTTTTATGACCAATAGCATCCCACATTACCACCATAATGTGGTGGTATTTTCTTTCTGCAGAAAATAAAGCAATTTTAGATCTTTTATATTTCTTATTTCTCTTGTGTTAGTCACATTGTCAGTCAATGAAGATTTCGTTTAAGATGTATAAGAGTATGATGTAATCCACAGAGAAAAACACAGCATTTTTTAAACATTTACTAAAATGTGTCTAAAAACAATTTCTGGACATTTCTTTCTAAAAGGTCTGTCTGGAGAAAAACCACAGGTGACCCCATGAGTAACCTGGTTGTCATTTAAAGAGACTGAATTTCATATTTTTTACTTGCCTTTGGTTAATAAAATAAAGTGCAACATGACAATAATTGTGTACAGTATTATGTGCTAGTATCAAAACATTTATTTATGATCTAATTGTTTATTATAGATGTTATTTCATATCTCCCTGTTCAGACGCTACTGATTTTAACCAGTTAAGTGCATAGCTTGAGCAATAGATTTATTTATAAAGCCAGAATATGTTGAATGAGAATAATAAGGATGGTGCAGTGTTAGAAAATACTTATATAACTGGTTTCGATTTAACCATTAAAGTCCTTGATTTTAATAGCAATTATAAAAAAAGCACACCTTGAAATTATTTAGGAGAATGGTCTTCTAGATGAGGTGAACAAAGTACATCATACCCATGTGTATACTAATACATTTTATTAGAAAGCTTGAATTACATCATAAACTCTGAGAACTAAAAACCACATGCAATTGAAGGGAAGTACAGTGTTTTGAAATATATTCATTGATTGCTTTTGATTAATTAAAAAGCAGGTTGCCACATACATTCAATACTATGAGTAAGCAGACTTAAATTTCCAATAAATACTGTACCTGTTCATCATTAAGCAGTAACGGAAAAGATGGGTTTCAGGGTTTATCTTTTTTTTTTTTATCATGGTCTGAGCCGTGCAGATCCAAAAGCAAGCAGGCGTAGTCTGTCTGCCTATGCTCCATGTCAGCTGTCTGCATTACGGTCCATGTCCTATTGTGCTGCTGGTGTTGCCAATGGGCTTGTTTTCCTTCTTTTCTCAGTCTGTTTCTGTATACATGCTGTCCTGAGCTGAGGCATTAATATGCGGCTGCCATTCCAGCCCTGTCTCCCTGCAGTAATTGAAAAGCCGACACGGAGCCTGGAGCTGAAAGAGAGAGAGAGATAGAAAGAAAGAATGAGAGTTTGATTCGATTGATCAAGCTGCTGAAGGGAGGGGTTGGGAAAACCCTGACTCACAATAAAAGGAAGCAAAAATAAATAATAAGGAAAAAACAAAACAGCACCAGCAACCGAATTGCATAATTACATATCCAGGCATAAACACACAATCAAAATAATTGTCATCATTACCTGGATGATTCAAAAAAGCTACTACTGAAAACACAGTTTTTGGAAATCCATAGCTAATTAACATTAAGGTGCCAGAATTAAGAAATAAAACCGATGCAAAAAAGAAGCCTGTGAGCTTTCAGCTGTGGCTGATGAACCTGGACGCAGCAGAAGTGATAAATGGGGGATCTGTAGAGCAGGAGCTATAGAGGCAGCAGCTCAATTAGAATTCTTGGCCTGTCTCTTTCAGGGGTGGGGGGTTAGGGGGGCTGGGGGTGGAGCGGAGTGGCAATTAAGCAAACGGGATGGTGGTTTATGCCCTGCACTCCCCGAAGACTTGTTTTAGGGAGCCGAGTGCAGGCACAAATCAATCTACTCCTTTCGGCAGCCGCGTCCACGGTATAATGTGCAGAGAGGGGTGGGAGAGAGAGACGGGGAGGGTAGTGGCAGCGCGCAGTTGTGTCAGTGTTTCCGAAGGGTGGATGGGAGCAGCAGAGGGAGAGAGAGCAGGAGCGCAGTGGGGAACACTCACCCTCCCAGGAGGGGAAGAAAGCTGTGACTCCGGACATGTGTGACTCTGAGGTGTGCCCCGGCGGAATCCGAAACACGCCTGCACCACGCATCATGACCGGCTCCTGGCTCCACTAGGAAGAGAAAGTGGGGGGTGTGCAAGGAGGGAGGGGGTTGGGCACACCACACCGAGTGACCTTACGGCGAATGAGGGCACTGGGTTGGGAACACTGAAACGCAGGTCACGGGATGATGTCGGTGACCACTGGATTTAGCTACCAGCTGCCGGGAATCACCACGGTAACCTATGTTTTCGTTTACAGCCCCAGCACGGTTACCCCCGAGCCGAGCCCCCCTCCACAGCCACCAGCCCTTACTGGGCATCGTGGGCCCAAAAGGAAACTCTACAGTGCAGTTCCTGGGCGTACTTTCATCGTGGTGAAACCCTACACACCCCAAGGAGAAGGCGAGATCCAACTGAACCGAGGAGAAAGGGTTAAGGGTAAGTTGAATGGATACAACCTTTTGTCTTTTAATGCTGTGAGGAATGTTTAAACTCTAGTACCTGTGTGGAAGGAAGAGTTAAATCTAGAACTTCTGACTTCTCAAACCAGTATTGAGTCATTCAACTCAAATTGTTCTTCCACATTCTGCAGAAACTTTCAAAATCCTGGGTGCAGCACTTCTGTTTCTGACAATAAATTGTTATGAGAATTGATGACTAATGCTTTATTTAACTTTGAAAATGATGAAAGAAAGTGACAGAATGTGTGCAGAACAATTTATTGCTTATAGCTGTCACTTTCTGATGTGTGGCGCACATTGTAGTTCAGTTGTGTGCTGATTCACTTGATATCAGACCTCATAATTAAGAAATGTATCTGTACAAACAAGTGTATGATGAATAGTTTAAAAATGTATCTAGCTTTTTGTTGATAACTGCTAACTAAGAGTTTCTGTATTAGTAAGCATGTGTGGATGTGCTATGTATGCAGTTAGATTTGATCTTATTGAACTTGAGGGAAATCTTGGCAGAATCCTGTGGCATTTTGGATTTTGACGTAAAAAGAACATTAAACAGACTCTTCTGATTTTCACAGCCTGCTCGGTCTTGATTTTTTTCTCATAATGTTACAGGCGCTCAAGGTAAATCTTAAACACGAAGCAGGTTTATTGGGGTAAAAAAAAATGCAAAAGATGACCATAGAAGAACATACAAAGTTTTGAAAGATGAAATGCCTAACATAGCTCCTGGTTTGCTTTTTGTGCTGCTGTGTTAAAACTAGGGAAATCTTAGAAATATTAAAATGCACACTAATGACATCATGTTACCTCTAGAGTGTTACTAGTGCTGCACTGGCTGCCTTCACACACTTTAGCCTTTTCAAATCATTAAGTATGTCATTAAGAAATAGAGAGAAATCCATAGGCTGAATTCAGCAATACATTGCCTTTTTTCTCCGGTGCCATTGATTGGCTTCTTTTTCATGTGTTTGTCTGTTCTTATCTTCATCCATGCCTCATGCAAGACGCTCAATCTAATGAAATAGGTAAACTTGAGAACATTTTGTTACTCCTCCTGTTTCCCCTGGTTTTAGTCTAGAATTTGTCCTGTAGTAGAATCTTATCACTTTCCCCCCTGTGTGCTTGTGTTTAAAAGGTTTTAGATGGCTAGATCTCAGTTGTTTATGCATGGCAAGCTATGCATATACCGTCCATATGCATACGTTTTCAACACCTTCCAGTACTATTGTGGTTTATACCTTTTTTTCCTAGCTGCATGCATAATGTATGTATACAGTACTATTACTGTGCAGTGCACATAGACATGTTGCACATAGTGTACCTATGTGCCTGGTTATGAGTTTAAGTTTCTACACTATTTTCTTCTGTAATGACTTCCCAATCTTCATTTTTCGAAAGCTCCTGCAGGCTTTTAATAAAAAATGATTGCAACAAATCACTGCACCCTTTTTAGAATGGTCACTGCTGCTTGAAATATACAGTATAATGTCCTCCCTTTGAAACGTTTGTTTGAAAATGTTACTACAGAAATGTTCAAATTTTATAACTAAGGTATTATTTGAGGATGTTAAAAGTGGATTTATTTTATAACATGTAAAGTGTTTGACATTTGAGTACGCTGTGAGTAAGTGTGCCTCACAAAAAAAGACACTTTTATTACTGCTGACCTGTCTTTGTCTTATTCAAAAATGTATTAATATGATGAAGCTCTTTCTATATATACTATCTCTATATATTTATGTATTGGGCATCTTTTTTCCTATATTATGTTTGTGTATTACTTTTTTCTTTGACGGTAGAATGTCTTCTTTTTGGAAATCACAGATGTCATTTCAATGTTATCTTTGTGTTTATGGTATTGCAATATCAATAACCTTCTAGAATACTGGGCAGTCTTAAAACCTTAAATTATTCTTTTACACGTTTAAGTGCCTTGCAAAGATTCTGAGAAGTTTATGGTGAAAGAGGTTCCCTTAACCAAATGTGCTGACAAAAGTAACAAAAAGCTCAATGAAATTAAATAAGATAACATGCTATTTTTTCTTTACTTACCCCACGTCTCCTGTTTTTAACCTAGAAATTCTTCTATATCTAAACACTTCCTCCCTATGTGCACCAGAATAATATGCATAGAAGGAGTATAAGTGAAAAAATGACATACTGTAATGCCCATTTTAATACCTAATAGTATTATGTTGCTTTCCTAAGTCAGTAAATAAGTAAATATTTCATCTAAAGCATCTATATTTTTAACATCTGTACATTTCACAGGAAGCAATTTTCCATAACACGTAATGCATTGCAATCCAGTTTTGTTTTGTAACAACCATAAAAAGTGCAATCTTTTTAAATGTTTTCTTAATGTATTTAGCTGAATGATAAAACATAATGTGTTGTCTGGGGTTGTTTTATTATCTTCCTTCTTAATATATAGAAACACATGTTCTTTATTTTAATATTCAATTTTCATAATGCAGTGTTTTCTGTCCTGTTGTCTGCTGGTTTTGTCCATTCAAACTAGAATAAAAAAAAGATTATAAAAGTTTACATTGAGAACTTAGGTGTCATATTTACTAGTAACAACAGAAATTGATTTATCAAAGTAAAAATGCAGAATGTAATTACAACATTTCTAACTACATTTCTGAGTCAATTTTAAGGTATTTTACTGTATTGAGGCTTACTCACCTAAAATTGAAACAATGACTGTAGATGCATATAAAATACATATACAGTAGTTCTGTAGGTAATTAAATTTAGGGTATATAAAAGGAGAGGAAAACACAAGAAAGCAACCTTGGTTTTGTGTTTTAAGCCATGTAAAAGGAATGAGATTGTGGCTATTTCTATCATGGAGAGTGTGTTGGTGTTGAGGTCAGAGGTGTACAATTCACAGAGGTGTTTTCACAATTCATGTTGAAATGTACTGTAACAGCAGTGGATCATGCAGAATAAATCGAACAGAATTTAAGCAATTTAAGCTTGTGATATGAAAAATGTCCTAAATTATTATGCAGCCATGTCCAATAACGAAGTCTGATTATTATTATTTGCTGGATATTGAGGTTCTTCCTGTTATTCTGTTATTCCTGTTCATCACACATTTGTAAGAATATAACAGGCTGTATTTAAGTACTGGGAAATATTCTGCAAAAGGTATATTTATGTTGAATTACATTTTTTTTAATTAAATAAGATCTACTGTATGTGCAGAGTCTGTAAAACCTGGGTTTGTGTATTCAGATTACCTGGAGATCTAAGTATTTTTTGTGTTTTCATTTTTTTGGGTTGTTTTCAAAGATCGAATGTAAGGTAGCTTCTCATTAAAATATTGCAATTTAAGCAATATAAATCTAGTAGAATTGGAATGTTTGGTACTCTGGTACAATGAGTTGTTTCTGAAAGATTCAACCTAGGGTAGAGAAATGCAGCTCATTCCTTCTGGAATCTTTGTTACAGCTGAATAGTTCAGACACATAAATAAGCATAACAAGCCAACATGCTCTGCTACAGATATAAGAAAATTAAAACATGCAGCAAAAAAAATGTAGGTTTTTGCTTTAAAGTCCTATTTCCTGAAGTTGGGTACTTTCTTCCATTTTTTCACATTCTAGCTATGAAAAACTCTACCTCATACTGTAGCGTTTTTATGTCTGTGTGCTAAACAATGTGGTTGACTTATATTGCCTTTTTCATTCATCCTATACTGTATGGATTTCACCTACAGTATACTGCTTAATTATATTCATGCATGGACTTTAATCATGTAAGTAGCCCTCCATCACATGATGAAAGTTGATGTTCATTGCTTTTCAATAAGAGACAGGGTGGTGGCCATGTTAATAAATATTGCCGAATTGCTATTGTCAATGCAGGTGAAATGTTCTGGTTGCAGTTTGCCTGGGCAAATCGAGCCCAGTATAAAGACAAGGTTCATCAAGAGAAATAGCTTTTGCAAGCAACATTAGGTTTTATTTCGGGAACTGACTACTCACTTTAAAACCTAAAGACTTCATTCATACCTCTTTTGTAGTGGCAGTCTAATTCCTGGCTGTGTGACTCCTTGTAAACCTGATCATATACTGTATATGTAGGAATATTTCATCTTTATAAGGGCATGTTAAAAATGAGAAAAAAAAGTACCAATGCAAAGTGTCCAATAATATGTTTAAGAAACAGAATCTTTTAAGTTTCAGAAAACAGTCTAAATCTAGATTTATACATGTAAGTAGTATTTCAGGACATGTTGTATAATCAAGATTTTGTTGATATAGATTTACAATGTGATTGTGAAGATGTACTTGGCCACTATTTGAACTTTTAAAAATTCTGTGCACATTAAAGTAGTTTGACCATCAATCATGTTTGTGAATTTCTAATCTCTATTATTAGTGCAATTTTCATCCACAGGATGCAGCTTTAAAATCTCTCTTAAAAATTAATGTTAACAGTATTATATGAATGATGAAATGGCACAATTTTGTATTTTTTTTCTACAAAGAAATATAGATTAAGATTTACTATGATTTAGAGAGTAGCATGAGGGTTTGTAGAAACTGCACATTAGGATGCTGCAGCTGAATAGCTCTATATTCTACAGTATGTGATAGAATTTCAAGCTAATTATAAACAATGCTGTAGTAAGTTATAGAAGTCCTAGTTCCCCATCCAAGGAAAGTTTGGTTTATGCTGTTGTGCTGGTGGACCAGTATGAGGTACAGTACTCTTCTCTCTGGACACCATACTGTAGATCATGCTCTTGCAGAATGGAGGGTAAAATGCCTCATCGCTCTTTGGTCATTAAACATGTTAATCCTTGTGTCCTGGCCAACTTCCACTTTGGATCTTTGTTACTTACAGTAATTCCCCATTAATTCATCAATTTCTCACTTCTTCACCTGATCTGCTGCATAAAAGGGCTACTAGAGCATAATGGCTGCTGCCCGTCATCTAGCTCACTGCTGCACGTCAGTGATG